TTGGCCTTCAGTTCCCAGAAATCCTAACAGCTGGTAAACTGGTTGGGATTTCTGGGAGTTGTAGGCCAAAAATACCTGGGGACCCCAGGTTGAGAACCACTGCCATAGGGAAACTCTGGGGACCGACAAGATTTATTGAAGCTGGTGGTTTAACCTGCTGTGCTAAAGCCCGGCTCTTAATTCTACACTGTAGACACACCTCATCTTACTGGGCCTTGGGAAACTCCATACGGCAACTCTGGGGACCAGAATCACAGAATCCTATCATTGGAAAAGTCCCCAAGGAGCATCCAGCCCAACGCCCTTCTTCCAGACAGGAAAAGCACAATCAAAGCACCCCTGACAGGTGGCCATCCGGGGCTCACCTCACGTGTTGCCATTTTCCGAACCCTCCCCACCCCTTCTCCAAGACACCAGCAGACTTCCACTTACCATACCGTCGGCTTGTCCGCCACGCTCGCACGGCATAATGGAGGACCCCGTCCATCCAGACCAGAAACCAGCTTATACAGAATCCCAGCAAGAGTCCCAGCATCAGGTCAATTTCCTGCTTGGTGACATTGTCAGTCACAAAGTAGTTCTCTGAGGAATCCACAACCGACTGGTCTCCATCGTACGGGATGACATAATGGACATGGTGCCTGTTTGGTTGGATTGGGAGAGAGATGAGAAAAAGAACAAGAGCATCAGGGCTTTGAGGGTGACCGGGAACCGACAGGAAATACCACTCGGGTTCCAACCAGTGGGTCTCTCAGGGAGAAGAAGTAAAGCTGTGGCTGCCGTTTTACTCAACACTGTGGGTCTCTCTCCCCCAGCAGCAACCAGCAACACGCTGTAGGTCTCTCTCACCCCCCACAAACACCAGTAAAGCTGCTGCTCCCTAGCACTGACCAAGAACAAGTATTGTGTGTCCTCAGGAGGAAGAAGTAAAGCTGTGGCTGCCATTTTACTCAACACTGTGGGTCTCTCTCCCCCAGCAGCAACCAGCAACACTCTGCAGGTCTCTCTCACCCCCCTCAAACACCAGTAAAGCTGCTGCTCACCAGCACTGACCAGTAACAAGTATTGTGTCTCCTCAGGAGGAAGAAATAAAGCTGTGGCTGCCGTTTTACTCAACACTGTGGGTCTCTCTCCCCCAGCAGCAACCAGCAACACTCTGCA